TTGTTTTAGATAATGATGATGATGATGACGACAACAATGATCGGAATAATGATTTGAGTCCGTCTGATTCGATTCAAGTACTGGTCTCCAGGTTTCACCATTTCCATAACGTGTAAATTCTTTAAAAAAAATAAGTTAGTCAAATATAGAGAGTTAGTTATATACAGAGCTCAAAAATAATAATAATAACAAAAATTATTTTTTAGCGCAGGAAATCGAATAAGAGCGTGAGGAACTAACGGTGGAGGAGAAGGAGGATGAGAAGCAGGAGGAGGAGAAGGAGGAGGAGGAGGAAAAGGAGGAGGAGGAGGAGGATGGGAGGAGAGGGGAGAAAGGAGGGGGGAGTAGAAGAGGGGGGGGAGGAAAGTATTGACGATGACAATGTCGATGATGGTGTCGATGATGATGATGATGATGCCGATGATAATGTTACTGATAATAAGGAGCAGGACACGTAAGCCTTGATGACAAGGCGATGATAGGGAAGAGGAAATACGTGATGAGAGAGAAATAACTCAGGAGGCAATAGAGGAAGAAGAAAATAGATATATTACAAAAAATATTTACTCTTGAAAATGAAGGTAATAATATTTTTACGTTTTTAAACAATATGATTGGAAACGAGACCGTTTATATTAAAACTTGAAATACGAAGCGTCTTACCGGTCCGAGTGTTAAGATGTTGAACTACTATATAATATACATTCATTTAAATTGAATTTAAGATTTGGGAAATTTTGGGGGGATTATTTGTTTCAGATTGATTGTATGAATCCGATAATTTCATCAGTTCGCAATTTATTTTTGAAAATTAATTCAATTTAAATGAATGTATATTATATTTCCAATCATATTGTTTATAAACGCTCGCCTATATATGCTTAACTCTCTATACATATCGGTTATTGCGAAGAATGTTGTTAAGGTCTCGGTAGTCTAAAGGCTTAGGACGCTCGCATGGAATGCAAAAGATCTGAGTTCGACTCCCGGCCGAGGCAATATTTTT